AAACATCAATCATGTTTAGGAAGTTTTTCTTTAGATAAAGAACATCATCCACGACAAACATCAACATCATTACGAACGAATACATCTTTATTAAAAATTAAAAATAGCAAAACTAATAGTTCACCATCACAACAAACGAAACGAAATGAAATAAAATCACCAGCTAAAAGTAAACAAGTTTTACAAAATGTACGAAAAATGATTAATGATCAAAGTATACAAGAACAACATTTTAATGATACACGACAAAGAGAATCTGTTCGATTATAATCAAAAAAAACAAAAATATATACATATTATTATCATTATTATTTAATAAAACATTAGAAATTTATTTCGTTTTGTTTTTTTAATTGTTAATCAATGATTTAACATTAAACAGTTAGTGAAAAGAAAAAAAAAATAATTTTCTTATTATTTTTCTTTTTTGAATAAGTATTAATTGAACAAAACGCAACAATGTCAAATGATGATATTTGCATAAAATTACAGAAGAAAGAATTAAGAATTGAATAAACGTGCTACACTTATCGCTTGTTAATCTTGTTGCTTTTACGAAAAGTAAACCTTCATAACTGAGATTACTTACAGTTATCATTATACATGATCATGTTCCGGTGATTAAGCATGTACTATTAACTATGACATTTTACTTTTCCTTTCTCTCTAATGGTCACCTATTAATTCTACACATAAAATAAAATCTCTCCTAAGTATACACGATCGTAATTTTTCAAAATGTGTTTATTTACGAGAGATATCATTTATTTTACTGTGATATGAAGAAAAGTTTCAGAATATAGGTTTCTTGATTAAGTTTGAAGATCATTTCACAAAATTTTCTATTACTTATTGGATTTCATATTCGTAGATTTCTTAAATATTACTGCAGAAATTATATATATACATGTTGATTAAGTTTTATTGTAATAGAATTTTTTGATTATAGTTTGTTTGATAAAAATGTGAATATTCTTTTCTACTTTCTAATATATTTGATTTAGAACTAAATGAAATACTTTGATTTGTTTTCAACTAATTTATGTTATGATAAGTCTTTATGGTTTCTGTTATTTTTGTTTTATTCAATTTTTTCATTTAATATAAGATAACATCGTGATATTATTGTCTTCTCTAATATTTACAAAGTATGACAAAACAATGAACAGACAATTTTAGCGCATTAGACATAGATATTTTACTGTAGGTACTATTTTCGAAGTGACACTTTGTTTTTCAATCATTCCTACTATATAAAATTCAACGGTACTATTTCTCTAATACAAATAGTTCAAAAAAGAAATCAATGATAAGACTCACTATAGTTGTTGAGTGATTGAATAAATTTCCATCAGATCAGCATTGATTCGCCTTTTTTTTTTCTTCATTAAATAAGATATGTAAGAATTTAAATCGAATACTCTTTTTTTCTGGAAAATGTTCAATATTCTATAAGTATGAAATCTATTTATTGAAGTTTCAAGATATAGAAATCTTTTTCTATTAGAAAAAAAAGGATTTCTTTCTAATATACAATGCCTAATGAATTAATAGATATTGATCGAGAACTCCGATCATGATCGTTATATTATTTTTCTTCCAATATTGATAACTAGCATCGTATTATTACTTTTGACTACTAGTATTGTAGTGTTAACTGTTCGAAATAAGTCCGAAAAAAACACATCTTGTTCACCAGAAATCAAAACTTGATCAGTCATCTGACTTAAACTTTGAGATTGTACAAGAAATGCTGAATGTGTTAGTGAAGAGAAGAATTTACCTACAAATATAGTGTGATCGGAAATTCTATACAAAGATATAGTTTAAATTTGACATTCAAATATACAACCTAGATTGTATTAGAGATAATTTTCAATGATTTTCTCAAATCAATGCAATAAGAAATTGATAGAATTCTGAAAAATCTTCAAAAATTACAGAATTAGAAAAAAGTCAATGAAATTCATAATGATTATGAAAATGAACTACTTTAGTTGGCACTTTTCACGGATTACAAAATCCTATAACCTTTAAAATTCTAAGAGGCGAGCCCAAAAAAAAGTTAAAGACCATACTAAAAAAACAATGTCAATTTTATATATAATACAAGACAGTTGATTTATTATTTCTTTTAAAATCAATGGAAGCTAGCTTCTATCATAACTCGTTAGGTGACACTTTGGGTGAACAACAAAATCGTATTATTTTTACAAACAGAATAGTGAAATCGTTATGATAAAATAGGCATATATTGTTTTAGTAGGTCTCTAAGAAGTGTGATGTCATTTTCTGTTCATGCTAATCGTTGCAAAAATGAAATAGGACATTGAATATCATAGAAGATTCATACCACCATCGGCATCTAGGTTTTCTCAACTCTATTAGATAATTACCGTAGGACTATTAGCTACGTTGTACTAGTAGCCGTAGGACTTATTGGTGCCTTACCTCCTCCTATTTAAAAAGAGAATCATACCAATGCTGCCACATTTTCACAATTTCGAACAGAAAACGTTCGACAGAAAACTATTGATTATGTCTAATATGAATCTATTAATAACGTTCTTTGAGTCAATCGTGGATGAGGAAGTGAAGCGAAGCTTAACTTGACTTGCGACTTTAATTCTGTGACGTCACTTGACGTAGATCTTAAAAGCCTCTAATTTACTCATCTCTTAAATCATTTTAATGCTGTGTTTGTTGTTTATGCTGCTATAGAAAATAGTGATAAGCAAGATAGTATAGTTTGAATAGCAGTTGCAAGAATTTATGAGGTAAGAGGCGAAGTCATCAATCCAAGTCTTTGTCGCTACCATCGTTGTTCTTTGTTGTGTTAGCGAACGGAAGAGACGATTGATTCTTATCATTTGAGTCGTCTTCTTCGTTGGAAAACTACATGCCATTATCAATAGCATCCAACAACTTGACGACAACAAGTAGCTGAAAAGATATCGAAGCAATGCTGCTTTCGACACCTATATGCCAGAGAAGTGCTGTCACATGAGCGCACATAGCGACTTCTCGAGTGCCAAGAGTACAGGTAGAATACTACCCTTGTATTGGTTGTTCATGTTCCTCGTTAAACTGTACCGTAGCAACATGTCGTGGATGTACGTGTGGATGTAGGATGTGAGTATAAGCGCGAGTTGTAGGTGTGGGTCTGCTTTTCACCCATACCCATACCCATACCTCATATCTCCATTCTCATCCAAATCCTATATATAAAATGGGCACAATTTTTACAGTATGGTCTTGAACTTTTTTTGGCTCACCTCTAATAATTTTAAAAGTTATAGAGTTTTGTAGCCCGTAAAAAAATGCTATCTAACAAACTATAATAGAAGCTGGTTTCTCTTGACTTTACATGTTGAAAGTTGATCTGAAAGACTATAGCATGATTGTTATGCATGTCTAGTGGGATTATTTCATATCTTGAAGTTCTCTAAAACGATGCATTGACAAGTTGACTTTCTGGTACAAATATAGCCTGAAACCGGGACTATCGAATGCACTACGAAGCACTTCTGATTTTTTCTAAACTTATATGTAAAGGAACTTTGTTTCACATACGTCTCTCATCGAGTTCAAGGAATAATTTAGTATATTCATATAATCAATATATGACTGAGAAAATTCCCAAATGTATCTGAAATATAAGTCAAATCTGATATTAAAGTGCTTGCCAATTAAAGTTCTTATATTCTATATATCACTGTGCTGGATTCAGTGTGAAAAAGTTCTATGGGCCAAATCACATTCCTATACGCCCGTCTTCTTTGGATTTAAAGGTTTTAGATAATTCTAGACAACATGAAAACATCAAATCAAAAGACTAAATTTTGACGAGTGCTTCAGTTTCTGACATGGTCCTCGATGGTCTCATGAAAGCACTCTTAAGAGATATAATTGATTTTGATTTTAAATATAAGAGTTTCGTATGGAAAAAGATTCCCCACAAATTCATGTTGTTAAAACAACTTTTACCTTCTTCAATATGTGAATCAGACAGTACAAGATCATTTATCTGCATATTTTCTGACTCTTCATTTTCAAGATCATCGCATTAGAAAACGATAACTGTCAATGAGTATATGTAGTAAGTAAAAAACAAGAAAACTCGTAAAGGACTATATATATGTCGTACCAAGTAATCTCTATTTGCGGTGATAGAATTTCAATTAATATAAGAGCTGGTGTTTCATCTTGCTGAAGTCTAGCTCACGACTTTTAATTATCTGAGGTAAAAGATGGAGGCCAGATCATCTAAATTGTCGTTTTTGCGGAACTTACTGATGATGACGAAAACTCATATTGAAGATTCAAGAGCATTTGTATCATCTCAAGATATTGATCACTCTGACAAAGTTCGAACGAGTTTTTAATGATTCGTCGTTTTCTAAAACACCGCGTCACAAAGTCTAGATTTTGTTACAGTAAAACATACGCAAATTATGGAGACCGAATGGGTACGCGACCGATAACATAAATGCTCTCATCGCACTGCATTCACTAAGATAGTTCATTTCGTAGAGAACTCTTTTCTGCATCTTTTGACACCTTTCTCGACTCAAAGTGATGAATAGAGACTGGCACAATTTCAAAACATCATCAGAATGTGAAAAAATCCACATTTTTAAAGTTTTGATTATTCACCATCAAAAAAAAATGGAGGACTGTAGTCTTCCACATTCTTCTAAAGTATGTCAGAAAAACCTAATCTTTTGGATTTAGAAATTTCTCGATATGATTTTTTATTTTGAGAAAAGAAAATCCAAAAAAAAAAAAAACTTTGACTCTGACAGCTTGAGCGATGGTCTGGCTGACTTTCTCTCTTCAAAAGACTTCCACGTTGGTTTTTTTCATGTTCGACTCTTGCGGATACTGTAAAACATACGAGCTTGGCATATTTCATCAAGCAAATATTTATTTAAAAGAAAAAAGATAAAATATTTTAAACATGTGTAAGGATGTATATACACACGAAAATATCTCTAAATTTATCCTCGTGATAAGATTAATTGATTTAATGCATGTGCTTCAATAATTAATTCTGATGGTATATCATTAATCAATGTAACATCATCATTTTTTAAATATGTTCGAATTTTTTGTTTAATAGCTGATTGTGCTATGATAAGTTCTTCGATTGTTTTCATTTCATGAAGTTTTATTTTATCATGAAATAGATTTATGTTTTCTTTAATTAACATTGGATATTCACCATAACATCGTCGTTCAAGTTCTTGAAGAATAGTAGTTATCTGAGATTCATTATTTTTAAGATTTGCATTATTATACATTAATAAAAGACGTGAATTATCTAATGCAGATAAATTTTCATTATCTGAACTAACAATATTATCGTTTCTTGCATAGTTTAATAAAGGTTTTGATGAATTATAAGAATCAACATGAATTGGTATTACATCAGGTACTGATGAACTTTCATTTGATGATGTCTTATATTGATATTTAATGGCGTTATTTAATGGAAGTTTAACATTAGAATTATGAAGATTAATTGATCGTTGTTGATTATTATTTGTATGCATTGGTATTGGCATTGGCATTAGCATGAAATCTTTACAATCGACTGGTGATATTCTAGTTTTTGTATCTGTTGAATCATGTCGATGATCTTCATGATGAGAAAATATTTGTGATTGAGATTTACTTTGTTGAATTAATGGAGAATAATCAGATGGTAATGGTGGCATAAATGATGGATCATTATTTGATGGATATGGAGCAACATTTAAATGAGAAAATCCAATTAAATTTGAATTAGAATTTAATGATCTTGCTGGTGATGGTATTAATTCTGTATTTGGATATGGAAGTGGATGAAATGGTTGTGATTTAATTGTTGAAATTTGTCCTGGAAATGAATCAATCATTGATTGAGATGAGGTATTTGATGGTATTATTTGAAGAATTTTATCTTGATTATTATTATTATTATTATTATTATCTTCTTGTTTTTCTTTATCATCAAGTAATGTTTGTAGAATAAAATTTTCAATTAAAAGTTCAGAATTTACATTAGAAAGATTGAAAATATCTAATTTAATAATATGTTGAATTTGTTGTTGTAATTTATGATATGAATAACTTAATTCTTGAATATTTTTAGGTTTATATTTTTCTAAATATTTATTTATTATTATAATTTCATTTGATGTTAATAATGGACCTGTAGATTTTCCTAGAGCACGTTGATGAAGTTCATTTAATATTGATTTCATAAGATTATGATCAATTGTATTTTGATATAATTCAATTAAATCCAATATTGTTAAACGATTTACATCGGTTGTTGATTTTTTTTCTATTGATTCATCTTTATAAATTATTTGCATAGATGATCGTTTTAAACGATTATTTTCTTGTTTTTCTTCAACTAAATGAATAAATTTAACTAATTTTTTAATAAATTTTTCAACTTTTAATTTTATTTCAGCATTTCGTAATAAATTCCATTCTATTTTTAATTGTTTTATTAAATCTTTGAATTCATTTGATAAATTAAATAATGAACATATATTAATTAATTGTATAGATTTATTTTTAATTTCTTTCATTTTTTGTTCTAATACTTGTTCAAATAATTCATGTGTTTCTAATATTTTTATCATTTTTTCTTGACAATTATTATTATTATTATTTTGATATGTTTGATCATATTTTTCTTTTAAATCAATTAATATATTATATAAAGTTTCATGACTTATTTGAATAGTTTTTCTAGCATAATAATGATTTATATATGAACAATGATTTCTACATTGTTGACATTTACCATTTTTCATAATTAAACATTGTGATAATATATGTCCATCGACAATATTTGTTTCATTTAAACGACAATTATTATGACAAATTTGATGACAATTCGCACATAAAGTATTATAATGTGATGTATCGAGTTGTTGAATTTTTTCAACAATATGATATTGAGTATGATCTTGATATTTTATCATATCTAGATTAGTTTGTTTATATTCAAGACCTAATTGAGCAATAGCATCTTGAATTTTTTGTATTTGAATTATTTCAAGACGTGTTTGATGAATAATTGATTTAATATCATTACGAATGTGTTTCAGTTGTATAAATGTATCAATAGATATTTGTTTAAATGAATCAATTGTTTCAAGTATTAATTTTATTTGATTCATTGAATGATTCCAATCATATTGAAGTTCATTACGAATAGATTTTGTCCATGTTTTAGGATCAGATACAAATGCACCATTTTGCATATAAAATGGATAAATTTTACCATGTAAATTTAATACTTTTAAATCAAATGATGATTCATATTTTTTAACATTAGTTAATATAACAATAACATTTTCTAAAATAATATTAGGTATATTACTATTTAAACAATTAATAGCATAACGAAAATTTGTTGTTAATCGACTCATTGAACCATTAACAACAAATATAATTGAAGTTAAATTATCTAATTGTGTTATTGTATCAATTATTTTATTCATATTTATTTGATTTTGTTCAATACTACGAGTATCAGAAAAACCAGGTGTATCAAGAAATAAATATTGTTTATTTGTTGATATATCAGTAAATATATATTGTGTACAATAATTAGTTTTTGATTGAGTATTATCATTAATATTAAATTCATTATGAGAAAATTCTTCAGTTGATATTGAATGATATTTACATGGTATAGCTATTTTAAGATTATTTAAATTACCTTTATGAAAATAATTACATAAATAATTAATAAATGTTGATTTTCCGGCACCTGTTTCACTAATAAGAAGTATTTTTGCTATCTTATCAAAATTTGAACGATATTGACATGATGAAACTAATCGATCAGCCATTTTTAAATTTATTATACCGAAATCTAAAAAAAAAAAAAGAATTTTAAACGAGAATTTATTATTTACTATAACTGTTCTATATCAATATAAAAATTTCACTATCAAGTTTATATAATACTGATAATATTTTACAGAGTGTTTTTTTCAATTTTTTCCCACTACCCTAAATGCTAGTAAGAATTCGAAGGATAATTTATGTGGAGAATTTTCGAAGATGAAAATGTCCGATAGTTTTCTAAGAATAGAATCTCTCAAAAAACTGAAACTCAAGTGTTTCATCCCTTGAAAATTCTATTTAAATTATCTGGAATGATAGAGCAAACAATTCTCTACATAATGAAATACCTTCCAGTTCTCTACAATGTTTTTTTCGTCAAGATATATCAATTGTACGAAATATACGAAAGTCGTTTTTTTTTTTTCTATTACGCAGTTCGTATAGAAATACAATTTTTTGCACCTTTCGTATGACTGATACATCTAGGTCAAAGACGTCATAGAGAGTTGGAAGACGTTCCGTTTTGTGGAGAATTGTATGTTCTTTCATTCTGAATAATTCAAATAAAATTTCAGTGAATAAAAAACTTGAATTTCAGTTCTTCAGAAAATTCTATCCTTGGAAAACTATCAATCATTTTTATCTGTGAAAATTCTTGTTGAGAATAAAATTCCCTACAAAAATCACCATTTGGATTCTTATTAGTATTTATGGGAGTCGAAAAAAATGAAAATATAAACCTAACTAAATAATTGAGAGCTACTGTATTTCTATCTGTGAGAAACATCCCATCTCATTCGACAACATTAATAATATTTATTAATTTTCACGCATGAGAAATTTCATCTTTGATCGACACCCAAACGTATGTCATAGTCTTTTGATTTCTAACCTTTTATGTCAAATTTAGTAAATAATACCCGGGTGACCAATAAAGAATGATCGCACTTTGCATTTCATATTTTCATCTGTAAATAAGTATCACCAAAAAAACAACAAAATATGCCACAAGATGCAGCATGAAAAGTTTCACAATTTATAGAAGATAACTCTTCCTACAGTGACACTTTTGTTTTGCTTTCAAAATCAGCAAAATTCTCTACAATTAAATTTCGACCATCCGAAAATTGGTCGTAGGGAATTTTGCTTTTTTTTCTTTGAAAACAATTACAATAAACTTTACTGTGTAAATTGTAGAGCTTTTCTCACTGTATCTATTGGTATATTTTGTTTTTTGACGATACTTAGAGGTGAAAACATTTATATGCAAAGTGCTACCATTCATTATTGGTCACCCGGTAGCATAACATCTAATTAATCAAATTTTATTCAATACAAAAAAAAAATAATAATAATAATAATAATTACTTACTTCCCTTCTAAAGAAGATTTTTTTCTTGTCGTCCTTGCATAATAATATATTTTCTTTCTTTAAAAATTAAGCATGTGTAATGATGCGCAGTATGTAAGCATGTTTATGTATACACACACTTCACTTTCATCGAGACGATACACACAAAAAAGAAAAGAGAAAATGCTTGATCGATTACTATTGATTTGTTTTGTACCTATGTCAAAAATAAAATATTTTTTTTTCTCTACATAAATATATTGTTTAAACAAAACCTATGATGGAATTTTCCAACCTAGAATTACAGCATATGGTCTTTTACGTCGATAAAATATACGTACATGACACTTCTTAAATATACACTTATTTTAGTTAAAATATTTGTTTTGTCTAAATAATGTATAATATAAAATAATTTGCATTTAGCAATTTTTGTTCAACTGCTAGAAGTAAAAGTATTTCAATGGATTAGATTTCAATGAATAAATAGAATATTTAATTTATGTTTGATAAGATATTTTAAGCAATCGTAATTAGAAGAAAATAATATTTTTTCTTTTGTGTGCGTTCTGTACAACGTGATTTATTTTAAGGTTCGAGAATAAAAGGAAGATTTTTGTGAGTATCATAAAAAATCGAATTATTGAATCTTTTCAATACGAAATATTTTCTGTTTACATTCATTTTTTTTTTAAATAGTGGAATAATTAATATCAAAAACAAAAAACAAAAGATAATTTAGAAGAAATATTTCAATAATTTTATTTCAATCAAACGATGAGCAAGTAAATAATTGAAATATTTACTCTTGTCATATAAATACATTTTATCATGTAGAAAAATTCTGCAAGAGTTAATTCATTCCAATGTCTTTGTAATATATCAATCGCTGTAAAATCTGCTTGCTGACAAGTATAATCTTGTATTGAATTGTAATAACGTGTATTGAGTACTGCGAGGAAATGAATTTTTTACAGTCTAATCACCATTCGAATTCTTCACACATTGATAAAACATGACTGTATATATTTTAACAATATACATTCGTTGCCAAAATCGATTGAAATTCTATTAAAATAGCATATTATAAGGTTAGAAAGTTTGATAGTGGAATCATTGAAATCTTTCTTTTTTTATCGTTGCTATGTATTTGTATACAATATTTTTGTACCACCTATTGAGTAAGAATGCACTTTAATATAATGAATTAATATCTTATTTATAATACCTTGAAAATCGTCAGACAATGTACGTCAACACAATACAAATTGCTACGCAACTTTGAAAAATTCTTATCAATACACAGAAAGTGGAAAAAAAAGAAATCCATTAGCTATAAAGCTATGTGTATTTAACCGACAATCATTATACTATTTGAAAATTTCGGGTAGTGAAGCTTATATGTATGTAACGAACAGAACGAAAATTGTTCTATTCAGAACTCATTTAGATCATTTTACCGATTCGATTACTGCCAAGCACAAGTAATATTTACTTCTTTGTTCTTTTTTTTTTTTGTTTCGTTCTTTCAATTTATATATGAATTCTTGATTGTATAATTTGAATAATAGTTATATTGTGAATGCATATGCCATTACTTCATTCAATGAAACATAGGTCAAGAAATTCAGTGAACCTTTTATTAATAGTTCTAGTAGGTATCATATTGATCTATTTCTTTTAAAAAAAATTTTTTCATAAAATAATTATCTAAAACTTTATTAATACAATAATCTTTTATGCAATGGTTTCTTAGTCGAACTGCTTTTTCATATGTTTGACATGCATATCACATGACTTTCTTTTCATAGACAAGTACTTAAATACTTTCATGAGTTATATACACGTTCAAAACAATCATCTGAAATAAAATAATAGAAGCTGTTCTCCCCTCAAGATGGAAGATTGCTCCTTGTCATTGATGATATCTGAATGTACTTAAAATTAGTTTCACACATCACAGATATCGTTTTCCTAGTAGTGAAAGATCCAATGGAGTATTACTATCGTTGACTTGCAATGGAGAGGGCGAGCTTTTGTTGTTAATTTGTGCATCTCATTTGCGATTATTAAATGCGTGAGATTGTCGAAATGTCTCAAGATGTGTCCATATGACATGACTTTCTTGCTTAAGAATTTCGTGAACATGAAAAATAAAGTTCGACTAGGATAATATTTCAAAATTTTTCAGAGAAATATTTCTAAATTTCTAGAACATCTTTTGATAGATGTCACTTTTATACAATATATTTATTTTATTTATTTAATACAATTATAGAATTTATTTTTATTAATAATATAAAAATAAGATAATTAAATAAATGAAAAGATTTTTTACAATAATTAAATATAATATTTGCATAGTAAACAATTTTGAGGTCGTTACCTTGAAAACGTTACTTTAAAAATATTGACCGATGGATGTGTAATTGGTACAATTATACCTTTTTCTCAATAATACACAATAAAAGTTTGTATAGAAGAAGAAATGCTTCTCAATTTTTGTACAAAAACAAAACATGCCGTTGATATTCATAGTATAGTCTTTTTTTTATGTATTACCCACTTTCTACAGGTATACATTATTCTAAAAAAGGTATAAATACCCAAATATGTTTTTAAATGTCTATAAATATAATAATCAATTGATGAAAGCAACACTTTCAAATATCTTTGTTATACTAATCGACATTTGAGTATTACTAATCTGTCATAGAACATAAAAAGAAACTTAACCTTTTCTTTTTGTAGATAATTTTTAATAAAAAATGCCTCCAAAACGAAAAATACGTAATTTACCTAGAGTAAATGATAAAGAAAAAGTCAATCAAGTAAATAGAAATTTTTGCTATTGTTTTAATCACAAAAAAAAAGTTTCGTTTTTATTTTTATTTTTTTGTTTTTTAAGATGTCATTTTTTGAACCAGTTTATCAAAATGATAATATTCAAATGAATGATGATGATGATGATGAAAGTGATAGTGAATTATCAGTCAATGATATATCACAAAAAAAACTTCAACAAGATAAAAATAAACATGAATCAAATGAAACATTTGATCAAGATCAATCATCAGAAGTAAGAATAAAAGAATCAATAAAAAACTTTATTTTGATGCCTTATTGTTTTTTTCTTTTCTTAAATTAGATTTCAACATCAAAAATTGTTACTCGTATAAAACAAATTCAAAATTCAATTGAACAAGCAAAAACAATGCTTCAATCAATGGAAAAATTTAAACATATAGTTGTAAATATTTTCTTTTTTTTTTTAAAGTTGTTCTTATGATTGATTTTAGCCGGGAAGTCAAGAACAATGTGAAAAACTTTATATTATTATTGAAAATCTTGAAGAACAAGAATCTGGTTATGTTAATTTACTTAATTTAATTACAGTAAGTTTTTTCTTTTTTTCTATTTAACAAAATGTTTGTTGTTAATGTAAATCTTTTCTAGTTTCTTTGTTATCGATAATCATCTTTAGATTTCTTATTATACAAAAAAATCTAAAAACTTCAGAATAGACTCTACGATATGAATTGCATCTATAATGAAATTTTCAGGAAGATCGAATTTCAGAAAAAAATCAGTTTCCTAGAGATTTTGAAAAAATGATTTGTACTATTTAGAATTGATTTTTTGAACTTCTCA